GATGAAGTGACAATCCACGTCAATATGCTTAGTACGCTCATGAAAGACGGGATTCTTTGCAATGTGCAGCGCAGCTTGACTGTCGCAGTAGAGTTGTATAGGCATCGAATGACTGATCCCAAGGCTGGAAAGAACTCCCTTGACCCACTTCAGTTCACACGTGGTACTAGCCATCGACCGATACTCAGCTTCAGCGGACGAACGCGCTACTGTATGTTGTTTTTTGGTTTTCCAAGAAATTGGAGAGTTACCCAAGAAAACAATCCATCCCGTAAGAGACCTACGAGTAAGAGGACAAGTAGCCCAGTCAGAGTCACACCACCCATACAATTGTAGATCACAATCACTGTTCAAGAGGACTCCTTGTCCGGGGTTTCCTTTGAGGTATCTAACTACTCGCAGAGCAGCATCCCAATGCTCAGTTCGCGGTTGCTGCATGAACTGTGACAGCACATGGACACAATATGACAATTCAGGTCGTGTAAAGCAGAGATAAATGAGACGACCCACCAACCTGCGATAACGATCGGGATCAGGAAGAAGCTCGCTATTAGAGAGGCTAAGATGATGATTTTGTTCAAGGGGAGTACTCGCAGGTTTTGCACCAAGTAAACCAACTTCACTAATAATATCTAGAGCATATTTTCTTTGACAAAGAAACACACCTTTAGGGGATCTTGCAACTTCCACCCCTAAGAAATATTTTAATTTTCCCAGGTCTTTCATATGAAAGCATCTTCTCAAGTAGTCTTTGAAACATTGTATCGAGTCGTGATCATTCCCACATATAATCAAATCATCAACGTACACTAGTACCACCAATTGAATGTCTTTATCTTGTAAAGTAAACAAAGAGTAGTCTGAGTATGATCGCACAAAGTCGTAATCTTTGAGAGCCGAAGACAACTTTGCAAACCAACAACGCGGGGCTTGCTTTAACCCATACAATGATTTTTGAAGCTTACAAACCATACCTGGCTGAGAGGAGTGGAAGCCGGGGGGAAATTTCATGAAGACCTCTTCTTGTAAATCACCATGAAGAAACGCATTGTGTACGTCCATTTGGTGAAGCTCCCATCTTTTCGCTGCGGCGACTGCTAGAACAATTCGCACGGTGACCATTTTTGCCACTGGTGCGAAGGTTTCGTTGTAGTCGATGCCTTCAACTTGATGATTTCCAAGTATAACTAGTCGAGCTTTAAACCGTTCTATGGTCCCATCAGAATGATACTTGATTTTATATACCCACTTGCATCCCAACGCCTTTTTATTCGTTGGTAAGGAACACACTTTCCATGTGTTATTATCTTCAAGAGCTTGTATTTCTTGTTGCATTGCTAAACGCCATCTGCTGTCTTTTATTGCTTCTGCAAATGACATAGGCTCTCTATCGGCTACCACGGCTGCAAGAAACTTGCGATGGTGCAGTGAGAATTTTTCACAGTTAGTGTAATGAGCAATAGGATACCGTACCTTCGTTTGATGCTGTGAGATGGGAGAACTAGCAGATGGGCTCTCTGATGTTTTCACCGTATTGGTCACACAATCTCGGAGCCTTGTAGAAGGAATTTTAGCACGCTTTCCTCGACCGAGCTGCTCCTCATTTTCTTCATTAGTGATAACTTGTTCACTTTCTTGGTTACTTCCCCCCCTCACGTCATCATGGCTCTCTTCCCTTGGCAACTCAACATTCACAAATTGCTCCCTATGAACATTTTCATCATCAGCAGGAGCCTCTCCATCTAGCATGTGTGTCATTAACTCACCACTAGAGATCACAGGTTCTTGCCCAAAAGGAAATTCAGCTTCAAAAAAATCAACATCTCTTGATACAAAATAAGTGTTGGTATCCAAGTCAAATAGCTTCCATCCTTTCTTTCCATGTGGGTACCCTACAAACACACACTTTCTACTTCTGCTGGAAAATTTGTCACCCTTCCTTCCTTGATTATGTGCATAACAAAGAGATCCAAAAACTCTAAGATGTTCATAGGTAGGTGGCTTCCCATTCAACACCTCATAAGGGCATTTTCCATTTAACAATGGTGTTGGTGTTCTATTTATCAAATATCCAGCAGTTAAAATACATTCACCCCAAAAAGAAATGGGAAGATTACCTTGAAATCTCAATGCCCGAGCCACATTGAGTATGTGCCTATGTTTCCTTTCAACTCGTCCATTTTGTTGAGGCGTTCCGGTGCATGATGTTTGAAACACGATTCCACGTTCATGGAATTGAGTTCGCAAACATGTAAATTCGGTTCCATTATCACTTCGAATCATTTTAACCTGCTTTTCATATTGTTTTTCTACTAATGCAATAAAATTCAACAAAGCACGAGGTGCTTCCCTTTTATCTAACAACAAGAAAATCCAAATTGCTCGAGAATAATCATCCACTATAGTTAAAAAATAATAAGCACCACATGAAGATGGAGTTTTATAAGGCCCCCACATGTCACAGTGAACTAACTCAAACACACATGCTGCATTATTATTGCTTAAAGGAAAGTTATCTCTAGTTTGCTTAGCCCTTTGGCAAACATCACATGCCTTATTTTCATAGTCATTATTCCTACTACTATTATTTGAAACCAACTTAGTAATCTTCAAAGAAGGATGTCCCATTCGCCTATGCCAAATATCAAGTGACAGTCCACTATCAATTTTGAAAGCTTTCTCATTTCGTGTCCCTCTGAAGTAGTAGAGCCCATCTATTCGTTCACCCAATCCAATCAGCATCCTCGAAGTGCGGTCCTGCATCACACACAAAGAGTTAGAAAATTGCACTACACATCTTGTCTCGTCTATCAATTGGGTCACAGATATCAAGCTACAACTCAATTTAGGCACATATAACACATTGCTTAATTTCAACCCTCCATCAAGAGTTGTCGTTCCCTCCTTCGTTGCAACAAGTTTATGTCCGTCTGGCAAACCTACAGGACATCCCTGTACTTCCTTCAATTCCTGAAGCAATCTCAAATTTCCTGTCATGTGATTTGACGCCCCTGTATCAATAATCCAAGCTTCTTTACCTGTCATTCTTTCACTAGGATTTCCCTTCTGGCTGTCCAACATATTCACAAGAATTTGCCACTGTTCTGTGCTTAATCCAGCCAATCCTCCGTTGTCTACTTCTGCCGCTTCCTCAACTGTTCTTCCAATAGTTGCTTGGGCAACATTTGCTCGTACACCCATGCCTCTGCCGCGTCCAGAATTTGCACTGCGTCCCTGTTGTTGCCCTTTGATTCGAACAACTGCTTTTGTTTCATGGCGTGGCCTATCCCCCCACCAATCTGGATATCCGACAATTTGAAAACATCCCATGGTATCATGCCCTGTCCGATTGCAGTTTGAACAGACTATGCCTTTGTCTTTTGTGTCTCCGCGTCCTTTAGCCCTTCCACCGGTCTGCACAGCTAGACCAACAATCTCTGTTCTTTCTTCCTTGGTCCTAGATATGGCCTTCACGCGTTCTTCTTGTATCAAAGTAGCATATACTCGATTCAACGATGGCAGCGGATCAGTCGCAAGAAGGCTAGAGCGAGTCGTTCCGTACACCACATCATCCAATCCCATCAGGAACTGGTGCACTTTCTCTTCTTCCCTTTGTTTCTCTAATTTTGCCTTGATGTTACATTTGCACCCTTCACATGTGCATGTTGGTATCTGATGGTAATTTCCCAGTTCATCCCATAATGTCTTGAGTTTTCCATAGTAGTTCACCATGGACATTCCTTCTTGTTTACATTCAGCAAGTTCCGATTTCAGTTGTTGAATCCTTGGCCCATTCGCAACTGAGAATCGCTCTTTAATGTCGTCCCAAAGTTCCTTTGCGTTCTCCATATAGGAAATAGTAGAACGCAAAGAAGCTTCAATGGTGTTTAAGATCCAAGACACCACCATCGATTGGACGGTCCACCAATCTTCCATTTCTGGTGATTCTTCATTCGGCTTCTTTACGGTTCCTTCGACAAACCCCCATTTACGTCGTGCACGTAACGAGGTCCTAATAGCTTTTGCCCATTCGTCATAATTTTCACCCCGAAGTTGGACTTGGGTGATTATGCTTCCTGGGTTGTCATTCGAATTCAAATCATACGGAGATGGCGTCTTCTTTACCACCTCAGTTTTTTCCACAATTTTTTTTTCCATCAGGACCATGCTCTGATGCCATAATAAATTATGGAAGAATTCTGTCTTTCACATAGCAGAAATTGCCAATATATACACGGTACAACTTCTGTTTCATATCAGGAACTTTAAACAATTTCCTATTTTATCTCCTTAGAATATGCCTACAAATAACGTAATTAATGGTACAGCAAATCGCCTAGTTAATAATATACAATACAGAATATGACAGCTATCAATCAACTTAATGAAACATATTTTGTTTCCTTATTAACACCAATCAACACTTTCTCGGTTCAATCTGTTTACGATTTTCTCAACTTGTGCATATCAAACATGCAGGTTCGTTACTTCTCATCATCATCTTTTATTTAATGGATGCAATTTTTGTGTTTTGAATCAACCTGTATTGAATTGAGTAGTTCTAGATCTTATTTGTGGATGCTTAGGGTTAGGTTGTTTTTGAATTCAATTGCAAGATGATCATGATCATGTGTTACGGTTGCAACATATATACCCCGTTAGGACAGCTGCAGGAACGAAGTTGGACGGACATCTCACAACTATGCCCTATATCATGCCTGCCAACCGGGTACGCCATGCTTTCATTTCTCTAATCTCTCTTGATCTCATCCCAACAAAATTTTTGGGATCATTTTAACCTCTATTCTTATTATGGCGAGATGCATCATAAAAATTATTTCATGAGACATTTGTTATAGAGTAACTCTTCACCATAACATGGTACACTATATTATTAAGTAGAAAATTCTAACATGATACATGTATAATCAATCATATAAAGGCAACTAAAATGAGCAAGAGATAGCTGGTTTATCATTTTACAAGTTATGCTCAAGCTGCTAAGGCTTTAGAAAATTGTCAAACCAAGCAGCCGACTCTTTAACCTGAAATGCTGTCCATTCATGCTCGACTTCAGGTTCGGCATAAAACTGCACGTCAAAGCAATCAATAAAACTTTAGCTCCAAAGACTTAATTATTACATTTCTATTATATTAGGACTGATTTAAAATTAAATACCAGGTTTCAAGTAAATAATACAAAATTCATATTTGACGTGGTTCAAAATTAAATGACACAATATTGAAAATGAAAATGACAGGTTCGAGGTAAATGTTAAATAGTAAGAAAATGTGATTTCATACGTTATAATGATGTGGACGTTGAAACGCTGCATACATCTCAGCTACATTGTACAGTAGTTCTTCCACACCTTCCCAGGGAGTCCTAGGATCTTCCGCACCTAGAGTTACAAACACCCAAGTTAATATTTCAATTTCAAGTTAAATTCAAAAGCCTCACGAATATCTAAACCGATTAATAAATACATAGGTGTACTAAGTGTTGTGATATAATCCAAGTTAGTTAGTTAGTTCAGATCGATTATGATTAGTTTGTGTTTAGCAACGTGGATCATAAGAGGGTATGTTGTGATATAAATCCAAGTTAGTTAGTTAGTTAATTAGATAGTTTTTTATAGTTACTTGGGTTACAAGTAACCGACTTGTATTTATATCTGTGCATAGTATAATTCAAATAATAATACGATTACTTTTCATTCTCTCTCCTTTCTCACCTAAAGTGCATCAGGCACTAAAATTGAAGAAGTGCAAAACTTGTATTACTGTATGCTCAATACATCAATTTGAAAGTGTTAATAAATAATAAATACAAGAATCTTACCATTGAGAATAAGCAGAGGACGGGGTGCAATAGCTGGAATTGAGTAGGGGGAATCAAATCGGGAAGTTAAACCAGGAGCAACCCTGTCCCACACCTGAATAAAAAATATAAACTCTTGGAAGTTAGTGTCCAGTATTTATGTAAAGATTCTGCTAAGTGGACAAATAAGTAGCATGGTACCAACCACTGTCAAGCATGCGTTGTTAGAGTAGTAAACATATTAAAGCAATATATCTATTCAGTCGGAGTCTTGAGACATTTATAGTTGAAATTATAAATGTAACAAACTTTGCTAACCTTCTCAACTACTTCTTTGTCAATAGTCTTTTGACACAAATCTTTACTAGCCACTGCATACATGAACATAAGAGAATTATGATGTAATTAATTTTCAAGGCACGTTCAAAATACAGTGTTCATTGATGGTAAGCTTATCCGTAGGACTCATATTCATATCATATTTCCCTTTTAGATCTTACAGAAACATCATTACAACTATAATATTTGAAAGCACTACACATAGAAGCTAGTATATATATGATTACTAGAATTATATCAATTAGTGACTTTCATTACAAATATATAGTACTTAATGAAGTAACATGAGCAATAACTAAAGTAAAGCAAAAACTTAAAAAGACATTTCATAAATAATGCATCATCATACCTTCAAAAACAGGTCTTATACTATCAACTCGGGGTTGCCACTTATGGTTGTCTATGGCCCATCGAAATCCCTGCAATTATATGATTCATAGTGTTTTAGTTGTTTCAAAAGCACACCATGTTAAAGATAAGCTTCAATCAATAACACAACGTTACCTGAACAGCAATTATAGGAACAACTACTGAATAGCGAGGATCAGCAGCTGCAGCAAACCATGAATGCATTCCTGAACCAAGAAATTATGCGAGTGATGAGTCACAACAAACCTAGTATCTAACATATTCCTCTCAACTTCTCTCAACAAACCTCCAAGTGATACTCCCGTGATTCCTATCCTATTGGGGTCTATATCTTTTCTCTGTGTTGTTAGATAATCTGCCAATTTAATCAAGTCCCAAACCTGCCAAATCAAGGATTAGTATGCTGTTTCAATCACATACAGGTCAACCAAATAATTTTAGGGGCTTAAAATGGTTCAGTTAAATAACAAATTTACCGTATCATATATGAATGGCATTTTGCATCCGGTTTTCCATGCATAAATAAGAGCCTGTTTTTTTAACCAACACAAAAGCGAAAAACAAATTATCAGTTTAGAATTTTTACACAGATCACTTATGTTTTTGTTTTTGATGGATCTTGAGTAGCAGTAAATTTGAGAAAAATAATTAATTTCTATGTTATTTATAGATGAGACGAACATAAAAACGTTACCTAAAATAGATAGATAAATTACTTATCGCAAAGTTAATTATAGAACTATAGAAAAGATATATATATATATGATTCTAATAGTTAATTATAGAACTATTTTATTCATTTCGTGCAAGCATCTTACATGATGCAATATGCGTCATAGCTAGTGTCGTGTGTGCGTGTCAACTAGAGCAAAACGAGAGAGTAAAGCAAGGAACACACATACCTCTTGATAGGCGTTGGCGCCCTTCCCTCGTTCACCATGGTAACGAGAATCAACCGCAATTGCTATGTATCCCCGTGAAGCATATGCCTGTAACACCAACAACACATATAAAATCCACAATTATAATGAATCATAAATTCTATTTCATAGGAGTAGAACAGAGAAAATGCATTAGCAACCTCTAGCAATGGACGCATATATTCTTTACATGTGTCTGTACTGTGATTGAAAACAACCGCAGGTCTTAACTTTGTATCACATTCCTTCAAGCTCAAAATCAACATAGGCAACTTTCCTTGATCTCCATACTGCAAAATCAAGGATTACTTCAACAAATTAATCTCTAGACGAATAACAAAAATATCGATTCAAAATTCAAATTCCAGAAAAATGGAATTATTTCGTTAATTATACTTACCTCTACATTTAAATACAGATTCTCCTCCACGAGCAACTCATGGAAATTCGGAATGTCTTTCCTTGGACAAGATTGCATAATCTCCTGTTACAAAATTGTTAGTAGATTGAATTTGAACAAGCAGATGAAGAAGATAATTGAATGAGTGTTGGAACATGAACCAGTTGGGTTGTAGTCGGATAGCAAGGATTCGTCACTGGTTTTGCACGTTCAGCCCATAATGGAACTGAAAATAGAAATAAAAACAGAGAATCAATCATCGATGCACATTCTAGAGAGTGGAATTGAATATTGTACCTTGAAGAGCTCGTCTGTTACTGAGCATTTCCAGAAACTCTGATTGAAACTCGGTCTCAATATTAATTGCTTCATTTTCATCCATTTTGATTACGGTTTCGGGTATGGTTATGTTAAGTTGTATGGCGGACGTTTGAGCTGTTTCGGTTCTGGTAAATTCTTTGGGGCCCATTTGAGCGGTTATGGTTCTGTTAACTTTTGTGGCGCGCATTTTGAGTGTAGTATTGGGAGAGGGGAAGAGCATGGTTGCAGGCATTTTGTGTCTAATATTGGGAGAGGGAAAGGGTATGGTTGCAGGCATTTTGAATGAAGTTTTGGGAGAGGGGAACAGAGTCAGCACATTCATCTTTGCTGAACTTTTGCAAGCTAAAGATACGGTGGTATGAGAAGGAATAGCTTCCTCATTTTATAGACTCTTGAGTAAAAGCAATTTTGCTTCTTTATTCAATCGCAATCATCACATTTTTACATATGTTTCCCAAGGTACTAGGTAGCAGCAATTTTTGACTCGCCTAATTTCATTCCCATTTGAAAAGTCTCAAATAATTTTGAAGAATCATAGGAAAGTATTAAAAGCAGAAGATTTAACTTATTATTGAATTTTATTTTGTTTTTATAATTTTGATTTGTCTATATATGAGAGACATATTTACCTCTTTCTACGAAGGATATTAGGTATAAATTAAATTATCATTAATTTCAATTTTAAATACATTTTTTTTAATTTTTATTTTAAAATATTACACGTTTTAAATTATTTATTTGGATAGAGTTTTAACTTTAATTATTCTATTTCTCACAATTAGTACGTATTTTACAAAATTTATTGTGTGTATGAATATATATCACATATTTTATCACATGGATAATTTAAATTAAAGTTAAAATTAAGGAAAAAAATTATGTTAATATGTTCTTGTGTTTGTGCGTTGATAAAAACAGAGAGACAAACACAATGTTAATGAACAATTAAAAAGATTAGGAATGAAAATATTTGTACGGAGGTATATTTTTGAACATATTTTTTAAAGTAAAATAAGAGTATCTCATTTAATTGACCCGAATATATACTTTTAAACATATAAAGAACATTTATGAGTTTTAAGAAATGTCAGGTGCACGACATATTAAATATATTCGGCTCAAATTTTGAAAAAACTATATTGATCCAAACTATTTTTTTCCCCCTACTCACCTTCCAAAATTTTATCTACACCTATAATTTATTCAATTTGACAAAAATACCCTTAAATAAATAATTTATGTTTAGAAAAAGTTACATTCTGCTAACTTTTGGTAAGTTATTTAGAGAGTCTAAAATAAAATAATTTAGGTAACGCAAAAGAATATTTAAAGTGATCAATTATTGCCTAAAGTCAACTACACCCCTATTAACAATACTTTTAAACTGTTGTCTATTGTAACAAATTTGAACAAGGAAACTTTAACTAAGTTGTCCACGGAGCACAGAAAGAATTTAGACAATACAAAAAACCGTGACTTAAAGTGAATAACCTTATAAGCCTTTTTAACAAACTAAAGTTTTAAACAGTTGTCTAAAGTTTATAATTTTGAATTAAAGTGAATAACCTTAAAAGCCTTTTTAACAAACTAAAGTTTTAAACAGTTGCCTAAAGTTTATAATTTTGAAAAAAAATTAAACTACCAAAACACTTTAATTTAGTATTTAGTTGTCGGGTGAGTAGTTTTATTAAAACATTTTAATTGAATTATTTGGTGAGCACTTTAAAAACTATTAGATATTTTAATTAAGTTATCTAGTACATTAAAAATAAAAATTTTGATTATCGAAACTTTTTATCAAATGTTCTGGTACATTAATAATAAAATATGTATGTATTGAAATTTTTTTTATCAAATGTTTCGATGCAAAGTTAAAAAATTAATTATCAAAACTTTTTTGCTAAATGTTTCATTAAACTAATGTAAGGTTATCAAAAATTTTCAATTTTAAAAAATTTAACAATAAATAAAATGAATATAATGAAAACACTTAATTATTTGGATATAAGGATAGTGGTAGATGCATAGAGTAAAAATTTTCTCACATTATATTCTTCCTTCTTACCCCATTATTTCTTAATCTCTAAATCTTAATTTTCAAATTAAAAAAAAATCCTAAAATCAAAAAAAAAAAATTAAGAAATTGACTTCCCATCATTTCTCCTAGAAACAATTTTGTTTCTAATTCAAAAGCAATCATCACATTTTTTAAATGGATAAGGTGCCTTTCATATTTCCTATCTTTGAATAATTAAGAGATGAATGAGTAATTAAAATAAATTATTTGTTTAAAGAGAAGAATTGTTTAATGAGAGATAGAGGGAAAGATATCAAAAATACTAAATTCAAAAGTCAGTTGATCCTTTTTCTCAAATTTTACATACGTTTTGCAAGTCAACAATTTTGAAGAATTTTTTACCCCATCCCTTGAGTTCTTACACATCATGTGCGTTTCTAAAAATGTCTCCTGTTTTCAGAGATGTATCTTCGTACGCACCTTTTTTTACTCAACGTTGGTTTTTTTCGGAGTTACATTTACGGAAGGTTCCCATTTATACAGCTCTGGAACAAATTAGAATACCTATGCGCCATAGTCTCTTCTCCTCCCTCATTCTTCATTTTTCTTCTCATTCTCAAACTCTCTCAACTCAAAAACTTTTTTTTCACCAAACTTCATTATTTTCAATCAAATTCGACAAGGAGCGTTCATTTCAACGATCAAGAAACACCAACACATTCAAAGTTTGATATAATTGGTAAATTTTTGAGTTTCTGAGTTATTTTTGAGTATTTCTCATAAAGGAGTTAGAATATAGTTTTAGGGGTAGAAATTCTTAGATAGTCTTAGAAACATATTTTAGAGACAATGTAGGTATTGTTTGTTGGCTGAAACGGATGATTAGGGTTTCAAAAATCACATTTGCATGGGTAGAGGACGTCATTGTCGTAACCTTTGAGTTGCAGGTTGTTCCGGATCTACATCTACGAAACAATTTAATGTTAGGGCGCTTCCGTAGATGCAGCTCTAGAACAACCCAAACGTTGTAAATTCTGGGTGCTTCCATAGATACATCTACGAAACTTGTTCTGGGTTTTATATCCGGAAGTAGAAAATGTTAATTTTTTTCTTTTTCATTTTTTTGATTTATTTGTATTTAATTGTTTTTTCTTAGTTATTTTGTTGCAGACATTATGGTAGACAGAGACAACCGATTGCGTCTTGGACGGGTTTCGCAGCATGCATCTGTGAGACGCGATTACCCATGCCGATACAGCCGAGGCACAACCTACTGGAAAACCTTCTTCATCACATGTCCAGGACACTCCCTCGACCTTGTTTCCCACCTCATCATCAACTTCCTCATCCCGGAGGCGTCGGGATTCAATTGAAGGCTCATCGCATGCCCCATCATCCCGCAGGCCTTGTCAGGATACTCTTGTTCCTCATCCTGCCGATGATGTTGCTCCGGTGTCACCTTTAGAGGTTGATGACCCACCAGCGGAGGATGGTGGTCACGACGACGATGATGAGCCTGAGGGTTTTCCAAGGGGTCCCTCAGATGTGTCCCTACTGACAGGGTATACTGACCATACTGCCAGACATGTCTGGGATAGAGAGGTAACATTACTTAATTTGTTTCTTTTTTTCATTGGAAATTATAATTTGTATTATTGTAGATTACTAACATTGTTTCCTATTTATCAAAAAATTTTAGACTCGTGAGCCGCAGAAGTTCTACAACCATGGGAAGAAGATATTATCTTTGGAGTAGCCACATGAGGCTTGGTTCCATGATGTCCTTGCCGCCTCTGGTTTGATGGACCTTTGTGATATCGGTTACAGCCTGATCCATAACGGGGTGCTAATGGGATTTGTGAAGAAATGGCATCCTGAGATGTCCTCCTTCCATGTACCGCACGACGAGCTGACTATTACACTAGACGACATCTCCTATCTGTTGCATATACCGATCAGGGGTACCCTCCCCCGTCACGGTAGAATGACGAAGGAGGAGGCGAGAGAGATGTTGATCGATGAGCTTGGGGCTGATATAGTGGATACGCTGGAGGAGGTGGATAAGACCAGATGGGCTCATGTGCGGTTCTCCTTTCTAACACGTAGATTTTGTGAGCCACTTGCTGCTGCACGCCAGGCAGATGGTGATCCAGCTGAGGTTGAGATACACATACAGAGTGTGCTAAGGTGTTATTTTCTATTTTTAGTCGGCACACAACTGTTTGTGGACACTTCCTTCACATATACCGATGTCGCTTACCTGAGGTGCTTTTTGGATTCTACACGAATCCATGTGTATAACTAGGAGGCAACTACCCTGACTTACACGTACTGGAGACTAGGAGAGGGATGCCTGTGGAAGACCAGGACTGTGGCAGGCAGCATGTCACTACTTGTGGTAACTTTTTTTTTAATTTCTTTTCATTCTATATTCGTGATAATGCTTGATCTAGATGTTTTTTATTTTCATTTCAGACTTGGATATTCCAGCACTTTCCCATGATTGTCGGGCGGGGGAGTGTGCCTGACTACATAGAGCAGATGTCGCATGCCCGTGCACTTATCCCGCTCAGGGGGAACCAAACGGTCGACCCTTACAGAGTCTATCTCGATCGCCTGGTTTCTGAGGACAAGTCAATCCACATTCATCATACCATGATTAAATATGATTATCCCATTTGGGCACATATCAATATAATCGATCTATAAAAAATAAAAAATTTCAGAAAGTGACCAATTTTGAAAAATCCCAATTTCTCTCAAACTGCCGTAACAATATAAATTTCACAATTCTAGTATATATCCACATACATATAGTTATAGTTGTAAAAAAAACATTGGTGTTTTGATCAAACCCCATAGGATCAAACCCAAAACTGGTATTTTGATACGATACACAAGAATTTCACATATCATACAATCATACATACATATCATCATAAAACATATATCATACATCATATATCGTAATAATCAATATAAATTTTAGGGTTGACGACAAACCCTCAGCATCCTGCTGCCTATAAACCCACCATATAGTATGGATTACCGCCCTTTACCTCGATAGAAGCTTTCACGATTCTCTCTGTGTTTCCCCAATGCAATGCACCGCTATCACTCTCAAATCTTTCTGCTGGTCGCTCTAGGATACGCCATTTACAGTTTTTTCCCAAATATTTTTTTTAGTACCCTAGCTTCCACCCTCTTATTATCTATTTATATTCCCAATAAATATAATTTTAACTATTTTTTTATATTATTAGTTATAATATTTATTCCAATAAATATAATATTTTCTAATACTA